CTCTCTCGATGGCGTTCGGATATCCCGCATCGGGCACCTGTGTGGGCGCGTATGATAAAAGTTACTACGTGATCGCTAGTCTGAACGAGAACGGCTCGGCATCTCTAAAGTTTTTCAATGAGCGCTCCTGTTCTTCGAACGACTTGTACAAAACCGATTTCGCGAACAAGACCACCCTCGAGCAGCATTTGTGCGACGCCAAAGCGTACACGTGGTACAGTAGCAACGACGATGAGACTTCTAGTAGCAGCAGTAACGGGACCGTTGTTAATGTTAACGACTCCGGTAACGAGACATCAGTGAATGATCCCCACAAGGGCGTCAGTGAAGAAGGGTTAACCACCTCCAGCATTGTCGTCATCGTCTCAGGTCTCTCAGCATTTGTGGCGACAATCGTGGCTGCGAGTTTCCTGGTCTACAGACGTCACATGAAGGTTCAGTCTGTGAAGGACACAAAGGCTACAGCTATAAACTCAGACCGAAGCAGTGTTGCATTGCTGGAGACACCCGGGACCGGACAGACTGGACTTGGACGCAGCGTATTAGGGAAAACTGGACTATGGGACGACGACGTCATCACGGCAAAAAGAATCCCTCGTAACAAGGTACAGACACAGAAACTCATCAGTCGAGGCGCCTTTGGTGAAGTTTACGCTGGTATTTTCAACGGACAACAAGTGGCTATCAAGGTGTTGCTACCGAGCACGCGCACCAATATGAAGCAAGTGAACGAGTTCCTTGCTGAAGCCAAGATGAACGCCACGATGGATCATCCGCATATCGTGATGTTCGTCGGTGTCGCGTGGGACTCGCTCTCCGATCTCTGTGTCGTGCTTGAATACATGCACGGTGGTGAACTGCGATCGTTGCTCGACCAGTATCTGAAATCGAAGCACCCCGTTGGCTTCAATAAGCAAAAAGCCACCACTGCGCTTCAAGTGTGTCACGCTCTGACGTATCTCCACTCACTGGACCCACCGGTGATTCATCGCGACCTCAAGTCCCGTAACATTCTGTTTACTAGCGATATGGAGGCGAAACTCTCGGACTTTGGCATCTCACGTGAACGACTCGACCAGACGATGACTGCAGGCGTGGGGACGTCGCTGTGGATGGCGCCTGAAGTGATGATGGGTGAGCGATATGATGACAAGGCAGACATGTTCTCGTTCGGTGTGGTGCTGTCGGAGTTGGATGTCCATACGATGCCGTATGCACACGCGAAGAAGGAAACTTTGGAGTCCAGTGGCCGAGCCATGGTGGACTCGGTGCTTCTCCAGAAGGTGGCGCTGGGGACGATCCAAGCGGAGTTTTCAGAGACGACCCCCGAGGAGATTGTGGAACTTGGTCGTGTTTGTCTGGATGTGGATCCGACGAAGCGTCCGAATGCAGCCGAGGCGCTGTACAAGCTTCACGTTATTTGCAAAAAAATGCCCTGAGCTTGACCGTGGTCGACTATAATCTTAATTTATAAGCGACTTGTTGATTTGTGAATACGTCAATTGTGGTGAATCAGTCTTCACGTTTGGTATTAAAGAGCATAATGAGACCTCAATGGCTCATTACCTTTGGTAAGAATAGAGTGCTAAGGCTTTCAAGTTTTTTTTTTATTAAAAAAATTACTCATGTACACACGTGCGAGGGATCAGAATAAAGAGAGATTTTCCTTACTGGCATAAACTATTATCGCGGCGGGTGGTGCAATTCTGGAAGTAATTACGCGGAATCCTTCTTTTCAATGCAGTATGATAATGGGCCTTGTGGATTGTCTGTCGAGATTTTGACAATAGCAAATCACCCTATGCGGAGTTGCAGAATCAAATGGCGGCTGTCCTAGCGCAGAAGGTGTCGGTGTTGATGGCGTCAACGGCGATTATTGTTATTCCGTAGAAGTATTGCTGCAATGAGAATCTTTTGAGCACTTCTAGTTAAACACTTTCCTTTCCTTTTCATTTTTTTTTCTTTTTGCAAAAAGCTGTCTCGTGAACAGGGTGGCCAACAAAATTTTTTCACAAACTGAAAATCGATTTTTGTCCGAAGAAAAACATTGAAATTTTTTCGTGTCAATATCATACATATAATGTTGATTTCGTCATAATAGTTTCTGTCCCTGTATGATCCATCCACTCCTAAAACGAAGGCCGTCCACAGCTTTTAGGGGATCAAATGCAACACCTTTACTTTAGTGAGTGAACTGCTCACGCTACTGTCAATAACATGCCATACTGAAGCCATCCACACCTAATCCAGCCGCGTGCAAGACCAGTTCGGGTGCGTCGTATGTTCCGCAAGGGCATCGAGGCGACGGCGATCATCCATCCACGTCGTCTCAGTCTCGATTTGCCGCTCACCCGCTATCCCGTTGCAGCGGTTTACGGTTCTCCGAGTGCTGACACTCGCACCAGTGTCAGGCTGGCATATTCGCTGCAAAGATGTACTCGATCTCGGCTTCCTACCTCGGAGACCAATGCGGAGGCACTCCATACGCGATCAACATCTTTCGTGACAATAATTGCTCCATTGAGACGTGTTCTCCCAGCAGCAACACCTCAAGTGCCGATATGAGAACTGTAGACTGCGCTTCGGACTATATACAGGCAGCGCGAGACAAGTTTGGGAGCTCTCCGTATATTATCGAGTTGGTGTTTAGAGATGAGAACTGCTCCGACTTCGGCATGGGCTACGGGTACCCTGCATCGGGGACGTGCGTTGGCGGCTACACCGCGAACGACAGCTACTATGTGATCGCCAGTCTCAATAAGGACGGCTCTGCGTCACTTGAACTGTATCCCGATCGTTCATGTTTGTCCGAGTCGCTGTACTCGGTTGAAAGCGGAGACAAAGAGGCTGTTCAAACACACGAGTGCGATGCTAATTGGTTCAAATGGTACAGCAGCAACGACGCAGCGGATACCAGTGGCAGCACCTTGACGTCGGGGTCAGTGTCAGGAGACAGCTCCAGCGCTGCACTAAGCAACGGTGACATTCTCGGAATAATTCTTGGTAGTTTCGTCTTCTTGATGGTGTTCCTCGTGGCGGTTTTCCTTCGACTGCGACAAAAATTAAAGTCGAACGCCTCCACTATCGATAGTCTGAGCGCAACCAGCGCAGCGTCAATTGAGGCTGCCATAAGAGGACAAACCGGGCTTTGGAACGACGACATCATCACCACCAAGAGGATTCCTAGAGACAAGGTGCAGACAGAGAAATTAATCAGCCGAGGATCGTTTGGTGAAGTGTACGCTGGGATTTTCAATGGCCAGCAAGTAGCGGTCAAGATGTTATTATCCGCGTCTCGAGATAACATTACGCTTGTCAATGAGTTCCTCGCTGAAGCCAAGATGACTGCGACGATGGATCATCCTCACATCGTCTCGTTCGTGGGAGTTGCTTGGGATTCTCTCACTGATCTCTGCGTGGTACTTGAGTATATGGATGGAGGAGAACTGCGCTCGCTGCTCAATAGCTACTTGGAGTCGAAAAATCCTGTGGGTTTTGACCGGGAGAAGGCTACGATTGCACTTCAAGTATGTCATGCATTGACCTATTTGCACTCTTTAATGCCATCAATTATCCATCGAGACCTCAAGTCCCGTAACATTCTTCTAGACAAAAATATGCAGGCTAAGCTGTCTGATTTTGGCATCTCTCGTGAACGGCTTGATCGTACGATGACCGCGGGAGTGGGGACTTCACTGTGGATGGCACCTGAGGTCATGCTGGGGGAGCATTACGACGACAAGGCCGATATGTTCTCGTTTGGAGTGGTGTTATCAGAGCTGGATATGCATACACTTCCTTACGCTCGTGCCAAGAAGGAGAATCTGGATTCAAACGGCCGTGAAATGATAGACTCTATTCTACTGCAGAAGGTGGCGCTGGGGAAGCTGCAGGTCGAATTCTCCAATCCTAAACCGCGATCTATTGGGGAATTGGGTCGTGCGTGTATATCGATTGACCCAACGGAGCGACCGAGCGCAGCAGAAGCACTGTACAGACTGCAGGTGATCTTGTCGAAGAGGAGAATTGTGTGAGCGCCGATTATGCAGCACATTAATTTATCAATCTTTATCGTAATTTTGTGAACGAATACGGACCGTGTTGTATCGTGACTAAGGGGGATATCGGGTGCTATGCACTTCACGGTGAGAGTCAGGGATTGGCATTATACCTCCGACTCGTCGACTTTTTAAGATACTTAAAACAATGCTCTTGACGTCAAGACATTCGGCTAACGTGTGTGTCGGAGAGCCGTCGAAGCTAACATTATGATAACTGATAGAATGCCGTGTCCTGTATCAAGCAACAGGTCTCGCAGACCATGGTATTACTCACGATGATCACGGGATGGTGATCACTCACGTCTCGCGATGTATCCACAATAAGTGTCAAGCCTGTCCAGCCAGGACTCCAGGCCTTTTAGTTTAGGTGATAGAAAAGCTAACGTGCCTTCTATGGCGCACCCTCATTGCGTTTGACTCTCAGTTCACTTTTGATTCTGCTCCAAGGCCGATGAATCAACTGGTCTCACTCTTCCTGGTCCTTTTCGGTGTGTTGTCGGGCACGACAGCAACTATGTACTCGATTCGGTCACACTATACCGGAACCACATGTGACGGCACCCCGTACATTGTGACTGCAGAGGTGAATACAGCGTGTACAATGAACGAGACATGCTCAGCTTTCGAGGGTAATACAAGCACCATAAGTGTCGACATGGTTTCGATGGAGTGCACGACCGACTACACCACAGTAATGCGAGAAAAATTTGGCGATTCCCCGTACGTTTTGCAGGTCAGTTATCAAGATGAAAGCTGCTCCACGTTCAGCTTTGGTTACGGGTTCCCAGCGTCAGGGAACTGTGAGGGTTCGTTCAATCTGACAGATAGTTACTATGTCATCGGTAGGCTCAACACCAACGGATCCACATCACTGGAGTATTTCTCGGCGGATCCCTGTCTTTCGGATTCCTGGTATATGACACAAGCCGCAAGCCAAGAAACACTAACGAGCCATTCGTGCGACGCAAACCGGTTCAAATGGTACAGCAGCAACGACGTTACCAACAACTCTGGCATCAGCGGACTTACAATAACATTCACTACTCTAATCGGAATCGGCGTTGGGCTCCTCATTATTGTGCTCATTGGCGTGACATTAGTATTCTGCAGACGCCGTTTAATGGCGAAAAGGATTGAGAGACAATCGAAGTGGCCAACAGGTCCCTCGGAAGTTGTGAACTTGAATGGAGTTGTATTGCACGGCCAGACTGGGCTGTGGAACGACGACGTCATCACGACCAAGAGAATCCCACGAGACAAAGTTCTGGTCAAGAAACTTATCAGTCGTGGGGCGTATGGTGAAGTTCACGCTGGACTGTTTAATAACCACCAAGTTGCCATCAAGATGTTACTCCCTGCTTCACGAGGAAGCCTCGAATATGTCAACGAGTTCCTCGCGGAAGCGAAGATGACTGCTACATTGGATCATCCGAACATCGTGACGTTTATTGGCGTTGCGTGGGACTCGCTCTCCGACCTTTGTGTCGTACTAGAATTCATGGAAGGCAGCGACCTCAGATCACTTCTTAACAAGTACCAAGCCTCCAATCAACCTGTGGGATTTAACACGGAGAAACTCACTATTGCGCTCAATGTGTGTCAAGCACTGACATATCTCCACTCGCTTATGCCTCCGGTTATCCATCGAGATCTCAAGTCGAGAAATGTGCTGCTGGATGGCAAGATGAAGGCGAAGCTATCGGACTTTGGGATCTCCCGCGAGCGTCTGGATCGCACTATGACGGCGTGTGTTGGGACTTCACTCTGGATGGCTCCGGAGGTGATGCTGGGAGAGAGATACGACGTCAAGGCCGACATGTTCTCGTTTGGAGTGGTGTTATCGGAGTTGGATGTTCATACGATGCCGTACGCAAGAGTATCGAAAGATGACTTGGGCTCAAGTGGTCGTGAGATGGCAAGTGTGACGCTGTTCCAGAAAATAGCATTGGGAACAGTACAGGTGGAGTTTTCAGACGCAAGTCCTCGATCGATTGAAGAACTAGGACGTGCGTGCATGAACATCGACCCAAGTGAGCGTCCAAGCGCCGCTGAGGCGATGTACAGGCTTCAAGTTATCCTGACCCGTCTGAAGTAGCGAGGAAGTATTAATACTCTTTCTAGTGTTGTTTATGGAACACAAGCGGTAATGATTGCCTTACTACATAGTTTTCATGTGTTTGGTGTTGGAAAACAACCGCTTGGAATGGACGAGGGACAAGCGTTGCTGCTGGTGTCACCATGAACACATATGCTTCACGCCACGGTGCTGAGTATCGTGTCATTCTACATAAGCCTTTATTGCGGAAAGAACTGCAAGTGTTGCTGAAATTGGCAGTGGCTGGACGTATCGGCCACGGACGCAGACAAAATGTACTCAATCTTCTCGGCTTACCTCGGCGATAAATGCGATGGCACCCCGTACCTCGTAAGTGTAGCAGAAGACAAGAACTGCACTACCAGTTCGTGTGTAGCATTCGACACATTCGGATCGAGGCCAATTAACGCCAACATGGCCACAAGTGAATGCTCGACAGATTATCTACAGACTATGCGGAACAAGTTTGGGAATTCGCCCTACCTTATTCAACTACTTTACTCGGATGAAAACTGCTCAAGTTTCATTATGGGGTTTGGTTATCCTGCGACTGGGTCTTGTGTTGGGGCCTACAACGAATCGGACAGTCTGTACGTCATCGCCGACCTCAACGATAACGGATCAGCGTTGTTTCAGGAGTTTGTCGAGCGAACGTGCTTCTCCGATCAGCTTTACATGACCGTTTACATTGACGCGGAGACTATCGCCAATCACTCATGCGACGTTAACCGGTTCCGTTGGTACAGCAGCAATGACGTCGAAGCCGAACACATTAGTGGTCCAACGTCAATGGAGCGGGCAGGTAATGGTCTTAGCACGGGTGGGGTCATTGGAATCGCCGTCGGTGTAGCAGCGTTATCAGCAGTACTATTAATCGCTCTTTTGGTTTACTCACGGCGATTGAAACATCAAACGACTGAGAAGCAAACCACGTTGAATTCGACTCGAAAAACTACGCTAGAAGCAGCGATTCAAGGGCAATCAGGTCTGTGGACTGACAACGTCATCACGACGAAAAGAGTTTCACGAGATGAAATTGTACCACAACAACTTATCAGTAAAGGAGCGTTCGGTGAAGTGTATGCAGGCGTCTTCAATGGACGGAAAGTAGCAGTTAAAATGCTGCTTCCTGCCAGTCGAGAGAAATTACATCGAGTTAATGAGTTCCTGGCCGAAGCTAAGATGACGGCGACGATGGATCACGCTCATATTGTCTCTTTTATTGGAGTCGCATGGGACTCGTTATCGGATCTTTGCGTTGTTCTCGAATATATGGACGGAGGTGAACTGCGTACCCTACTGAACAAGTACGAAGCGGACGACCATCCTTCTGGTTTTGATCGACAGAAACTCACTATTGCGCTTCATGTCTGCCACGCTCTTTCCTACCTCCACTCGATGATACCTTCGATCATTCATCGAGACCTCAAGTCTCGTAACATTTTACTGGATAGGGAGATGAATGCGAAGTTGTCGGACTTTGGTATTTCTCGAGAACGACTCGACCGGACTATGACTGCAGGGGTTGGAACTTCTCTGTGGATGGCACCCGAAGTGATGCTAGGCGAGCGTTATGGTGACAAAGTGGATATGTTTTCGTTTGGAGTTGTGCTATCTGAGCTCGACGTGCACACAAGACCGTATGCGCGAGTGAAGAAGGAAAACTTGGACTCAAATGGACGTGAAATGACCGATTCGGTGCTACTCCAGAAGGTGGCGTTAGGACAAATTCAGGTCGAGTTTTCAAAGACAAGTCCAAAAGCGGTGGTGGAGCTTGGTCAAGCCTGCATATCGATAGATCCGACTCAACGTCCGAGTGCAGCTGAGGCGTTGTATAGACTACAGCTTCTGTTGCGGAAGGTGAGATGAAGTAAAACATGTAAAGTAATTGAAAACGTGTCGTTTGGTCTTATCTAACCAAGTCAATGGAACTAAGATAGCAGCCTCAAATAGTCGACAGCTACTCAGGTTCATATGGTGCATTTAGCTTCACAGCCGCTAAGATTGATCTTGTCCAAGTTCTGTTTGAGCTCATATGGCTGTCCATTCTGGGCGGTGGGTAGACTGCTGGTTTGAGTCGCGCTCAGCAAGAATAGCCCATACCACCGAAAGCAAAGACGTGTCAGTTCCGCCCTGGGTCTCGTTTATTCAGTCTCGATTTATCAAGACGTGGAGCGCAATGCTTCGTTGTGTGTTTTTGACTGCTTTCCTGGCGCTGATGACGAAGGTGGCGACTGCAGACAAGACGTTCGCGATTCAGGCCACGTACCTCGGTGACCAATGTGGCGGCACCCCGTACGCTATCACGGTGTACGAGGACGAAAACTGTACAGCCACAGCGTGCGATTCGTACGACACCTTCTACGGCTCTCGAGCCATTAACGCCAACATGATGACAAACGACTGCTCTTCGAACCACACTGAGCTCCTACAGATCATGCGAGACAAGTTCGGCAACTCCCCGTACCTGCTTCAGACACTTCACATCGACGAAAACTGTACCGAGTTCTCGATGGCTTTCGGGTATCCAGCAATGGGAGCATGCGTCGGTGCCTACAACGAGTCTGATGGCCTGTACGCCATCGCCAGTCTCAATACTAACAGCTCGGCATCTCTTAAATTATTTTACGAGAGAACTTGCTTTGCCAATCAACAGTACATGGCGACATTTGTGTCTCAAGAGGAACTTTCCACTCATTCGTGTACGATCGATTGGTTCCGATGGTACAGCAGTAACGACGCCAAAGTATCGCCCGCTTCGACAAGAGATAATACCGGTGGTACCTTAAGTTCAGGGGCTCTTGCTGGTATCGGTTTAGGAGGCTTTGGCTTTGCAGTGGTGCTCGTCGTGGCTGTCATTGTTCGAAGACGTCAAGCGAAATCTCGAGCCCTAGATAAACACGATCACTTCGAGTCAAGTATGACCCCTACAGCCGTTGACTCGCTCGAGGCAGTTCTTCGAGGACAAACTGGTCTGTGGAACGATGATATCATTACGGCCAAGCGTATTCCTCGAGACAAAGTACAGACTGAGAGGCTTATCAGTCGTGGATCATTTGGCGAGGTTTACGTTGGTAGTTTCAATGATCATAAAGTAGCAGTCAAGATGCTGCTCCCTGCCATGCGAGGCAAGATCCAACACGTCAACGATTTCTTGGCTGAAGCCAAGATGACTGCAACGATGGACCACCCACACATTGTATCGTTCATTGGCGTCGCGTGGGATTCATTGTCGGACATCTGTGTCGTGCTTGAGTATATGGATGGAGGAGAGTTACGATCGCTGTTGGACAAGTTCCAGAAGGACAAACATCCGATCGGATTCACTAGAGAGAAGACGACAATTGCACTGGAAGTCTGTCATGCGTTGACGTATCTCCACTCCCTATCGCCGCCGATTATCCATAGAGATCTCAAGTCAAGAAACATTCTATTGAACAGTGATATGAAAGCGAAGCTGTCGGACTTTGGGATATCGCGAGAGCGACTTGATAGAACCATGACTGCTGGGGTTGGTACTTCGCTTTGGATGGCTCCTGAAGTCATGCTAGGCGAACGTTACGATGACAAAGCGGACGTGTTTTCGTTCGGTGTGGTGCTGTCCGAGTTGGATGTCCACACACTGCCATACGCTCGAGCGAAGACGGAGAATTTGGACTCGAAGGGTAACCCGATACCTGATTCAATCCTACTTCAGCGAGTTGCCTTGGGCATCGTAAAGGTCGAGTTTTCTGATGCCAGTCCGGAGGCTATCGTGGACCTTGGTCGAGCGTGCACATCGGTGTATCCGACAGAACGCCCTACTGCAGCAGAGGCACTGTACAAACTTCAAATGATCTTGTCGAGGAAAAAATCTTCTCGGACTCAATCGGCTGAAAGCCTCAATTAATTAAGCAGAGACCACGGCGAAGAGAGCAAATCTTGTCGTTCTACCAAGTCGATGGGCTGATAACATTAATATAGTCTACCTTCTAGACTCGAGGGATTTTCGATTACATTACAGGCAGGAGTCACACACCACAAATGTTGGAATTCGAATAGTGATCTACTGGGTTCTGGAGATATTTCGATGTGTGAGTGACAGTGTTCCAGCGATTTTAATCTGAATGGCTACGAATAATTGACAGTCGAAGCAGCGAAGAATTTTGACGATAGTTCACTTTCGCTTTCGTATCTCTTAGGGCACAAGTCGTTAAACGATGTATCGATTGTTGCCGTGGGTCATACCGGCAGTGACTGCAGCGACTTACATGGTTTGGTCTCGCTACGCTGGAACCTCTCGTGGGGGTACACCCTACTTCGTCGCCACTATCGAAAACACAACGTGCTCTCCTTACTCCTGCTCTGAGTACGGCGAGAACACTACCGCTGAGAGGATCTCGGTCGAGTGTGCAACCGACTACATCACTCCAATGCGACAGAAGTTTGCCGGGTCCTGGTACGTCTTGGGTGTAGACTTTAAAGACAATTACTCAGCTCCAAGCCAGCCACGCAATTTTCAGCATCAGGAAACTGCGTCGGATCGTATCAGACTACGCAGGCGAGACCTGCACACTATACAAGGAACCCTTTAAGCCTGCGCTTTGAAAGCTGTCAGGATGCAGTAATAGTCACCTGCTTTGGACGACCAGTGGATTTTGACTGAGAATGCGGATAAGAAGACACTCGAGGGTCTCCTACAATGTAAACACACATTCGGTGGTGTAGTAGTAATGACATAACAATTTCAGCGTCGGATCCATTGTCGGGATTTTTGTACGCTGTTTTATTTGCGAATATCGCAACGTCCGTGCACTGTCGCCGACAGACAAGAAACTATGCACGCAGAGGAGATGCCCTCAGGCCGAAGATCGCTACAGAACGACAAAGCGAGCAAGCAGATTCCACCCGACTAGGTCAAAATCAAGAAGAGTGATTAAATGTCACCCTTATGGACGGCAGGAGTGATCCCATACAACAGAAACGATCTGTGTGGACCTATCTGAACCGAATCCAAGTTCAAAATTGAGTTGGGTTGTCGTTGACTCCAAACGAACGACGCTAAAGTGTTGTACTGAAGTACAGACTTCACGTTCTTCTAGCGCAGAAGCTGCCATCATCATGAAAATGAATGAGCCTCACCATTTGAGCGCATTACGATACTTAGGCAGTTTTTTTTTGTGGATACATGCCCTGCCGTGGCCAAGTATTTCTCACCTTTAGGATTTCGTTCGTGACAGTTGCTACCTGAAAGTTTTTATGCGTGTCAACGCACATGGTGTACCCATTAGAGGTGAGTTTTATGCTCTGGTTAGCAAAGGACACCAGTTGTCCTCACACCACTTTATTCACATCAACTGCGCTATGAGGACCGAATCTCACGCTGTTCGTGGCATTCGTGAATCCAGTTCGCCTTTGGCTTCCCGACAGTAAATGAATGAACCCAAAGAACTCTACGGGCGAAACAGCAAAGTCTCTCACTTCCAAACTGCTATTCGCTTCGCCATGTTTCGCGTAGATCTCGCCGTCATACTGGTAGCTGTGGCCATCAGATTATACTCTCTGACAGCTGAAACCACGTACACTGTTGAGGATTTCTACTCGGACGATGAAAGCTGTAGGGGCGTACCCAACGTGATTCGAGCTACTGAGGACGCAAATTGTACCATGGTCACGTGCTTCAAGGACGCAAGTAACAACATCGTGCAAATCGAATGCTTCTCGGACTACGAGGAGGGCTTCAGACGTAGTGTAGGCAATGACTATATTGTCCAGGCTGTCTACAAGGACAGCGACTGCTCTGAATTCAGCTACGCCATCAGGTATCGCGTGAGTGATGACTGTATGGCTGGGTACTTCGAGTCGGAAACGCTTCGACACTTTTTCTACTACACTACTAGTCTGGAAGACGATGGATCAGCCAGACTCGAATTCTTCTCGTCCTGCCCACCGCGTTACCACTACTTACTTGACGGTGATACTGCGGGAGACTTTGGGACCAAACGCATCCCTGCAAGGAAAGACTGTGTGGCAGATTTCTCCACTAATATGTTTCCAGGTTATCACAAATGGTACACAAGCGAGGATGAGGACGACAGTGGACTGAGCGATGGAATTATCGCGTGTATTTTCTGTGGTTCCTTCTTCCTGTGCTTTACCATCGGTGTGTTGGTTGTCGTCTGTCAAGAGAAGAAGCAAAACGCCGCATTGGCCGATGCTTCCGTTGACGTCATCGTCACCTCGCTAAACGCAACCGTGGACAACAACCAGATATTTCACTACGAACAAGAAGACCAAGGAAGTGGTGCTGAACATTTTGCCGCCATAGTGGAAGATTTGCACTAGGTAAGGAATAGTAACGTCTAAAGCAACTTCATCACGAAGATTTAGCTGGGAGAATCGTGGTCAAAAATCCTCCATCATCTATGTAGGAATATCAATGGCAGTTTGTGAGTAACAGCATATCGAAAACCTCGCGAATTTCACTCTTCAATTTGCGGTGTTCCTTACGAAATGAAGCAAGCCGAGATTTTGACGACTCGAGTGGGTTTCAGAAGCCTAAGCGCTCCAAGACAGACCGGAACGATTAGCTTAATGCTGCATTTCGCTTCAAAAATACCCCCCCCCCCCCAGTGATTGCCAAGATGAAGATCTGTGTAAGGTTCTGGTAAAGAAGTTTACCAGTTTGGTAGTACAGTTGGAACCTGTGTCGATGCCGAACCACTGCTGCGCTCAAATGAACCCTCACGTCGACGATCGCATCATTCCTGTCTCCGAATTCGCCGGCCATGAAGTTGATGTTCTGCGAGAGGTTTGTCGTCGACTGGAATCATCGAAGTGGAGATGTTTGGTATGATCCGTGGCTACCGATGTACGGTTGCGTTGTACACTGAACCAAAGTAAGTGCTGCGGTTGTCAAGTTGGAAGTTGTCTTTGTGGACGGATGGGAACGTACTTTACACTTCTTGCCAACCGGCAAATGCGTCCATGGCGCCGTTCCTAAACCTACAAAACGTTGCATTGTGCTCGGCGTTGGAGGAGAAATTTGGTAGCGTGTTTTACGCAAAGTTGACGAAAGCTCAACAGGATAAAGGATCGAAACGGAGTGCAGCGTTTAATGATCTTGGAAATCAAAAGACACAGCAATTTATCGCCGCAGTGGTGCGACGTGCCGTTGCTGTAATCACTTCAATCGTGAAAGAAAATGGAAATGTTGGCTATGATGAGAGATTCTCTTCGCAAGGAGGAACGACTGATGTTGGGATGCACACGGGCGGAAGACCTCGTGATACCTGTTCGCCACTTGTGCAGACAGTGATCGATCAAAACCTCTGCTGTGGTCAAGGACTTTTTAGAAAAACGATGGTAATGTTCAAGATGAACCTGCTTCAATTATACGTGACTGAGACGCAAGATACGTTTGGTCGTGAAATTAATATTAAAGACGGATGTGCTTCTGTGGACAATATGTTTTTCATGCTGCAAGACGTTGTTCAGAGTGCTATAGAGCTTCTTGAAAGTGGGTACGATGTGTCGTCCTTGAATGAGAAGTGTTCTCGTCTACGAGCTACTATTGAAGAATTCGTTAATGCGTTAAACCAACAGACTATGATACGCTATCGTCCACCAAGTTCCACGGTAACTAAGCAGTTGAATACACTCGAATGTGGGGTGAACGTGAACTCGCCGAAACGAGACTGGGAATGTAACACACTAGAAAATAGCGAAACGCGTCACAATCGTGTGTTGACTAATCCAGAGAGATGCTGGTTTCTAGACGGGGTTACATGCAGTCTGGAGACTCTGCTTCAATGGGGACAAGCTGACGCTACTCCCAAATCGTACAAGTGCACTCTAGTTCTGCGAACATTTGAGACGTTCATGTTCGAGAGATCCCTCAAATTATCTGGTGATGCGGATCACATACTACGAGGTGCAGCTTTAACGTGGGCGGGCTCGACCGGTGTAATTCTCAATCCATTCAACGCTACTTCGATTAGTATAGTGGATAGCTTCATAGAGCAAATGCCACAATCAGTTGCGGACTTTCAGTGGATGAACGCATGGCCTGGTCAAGGTGAAACCCGAGGAAATATGGTTTATGCAAATTTGCACAATAGACCAGAAGAATACGATAAAAAGCGTCGTTTATTGCACTAGGATCGCTGCGCTCTTATCCGAAGCAGCAGCTCCGGAAGCTACAGTGTATTTTACTTCACGACAAGTTACCGTGGTCGCACTCGTGCGTGGAAACGATTGTGCGACAGACACTGTATCAAATCGGTGATCTTACTGAGGAGGATCCGAAAATGCTCTGGAAGACGGATATGCTGGAAGAGGAGAGCGGGTTGCAAACATTCTGTGCCGTGCTGAAGCTCGCTGCGAATAAACTCGAGCAAACGCCAAGTTGTTTCGAGAATATTCCACTTCTCAGTGAACTTTCAGGATATCTCCATCAATTTACACGGGATATGCAGAACCTATAGTGAAATTGTTTGCGAGGATGGCACGACGTTAAGCTGCGGATTTACGACTGGAGGATAAGGGTGAACGACTATCCAATTCGAATTGCGGTTCTCCGTCAGAAAGAATGTGTTTTATACGGCTACGCATTGTTATCCTGCACATTGGGACCACTGAACGATCGAGCAGCTCTGGAGATATGTGAGTTGATTGTGTTGTTCCGGACCAATTTTCTCTGTGCTAGCATCAACTTCCCCTCCACTAAGGAAATGCTTAAAGTGGAGAGAAAAGTTCAAGAAATGATGTCTCGAAGGATTGACAATTTGGTTATCTATGTGAAGAAAGATATCGATAAAGTACTAACTACTTTGGTTCATTTGGTGAGTGCGCCGCCTCCAGGGCACATGGAATGGAAGCAAGTCGAGGAATCACCAGGTGACGAAAGGTTTGGATGCTGCTTTGAATCTTCTGATAGCCGCTACGCGGTTAATTTGTTCATGGGTGTTGTATTGACGGATGGTAATCCACCTGGTGGAATACCAACCAATATTCGCGAACATAAACGATTCCAAGGACTTTTCGGATGCTGTAACTTCGAGGTGAACAGTGTGGATGGCCTTTTCCGGACTGAAAGTTTGTATTGTACGAGTTTGGATGTCAGGAAGTGGAAGAACTATTTATCCTGGAGCTCATCGTAACATTTCGGGTAGATTTCAATTGTGCCCTATTGACTGGATTGATTCGTTCTGCGCTCATTTCCCCACTCGACTGCGAGATTTGTACTCTCGTTGGTATTGGGTGGAGCGAAACTGCGTCCTTTCCCGGCCAAAGGAAGTTAAGAATCGAGAGGTATTTTTCGTTGCTATCTTCGACAGCACAGCGTTATCCAATGCTACAAAGTACCCTTCGGTGATGCCACGTTGTCCAACGAATACATCATAGAACATGTCACTGACTATGACTCTTTTGTTCAAAGAGAGGATCCGCTCGTGGATGTATTGAATGTGTTATCGAAGCTCGAAGACGAGAAGCTTCTCCATCCTCTCAAATCTCCTGACGTTACTTTAAAGATCGAGTTGCCCCGTTTCAAGTTGCAGTTTGTCTCGATGCCGAGATGCAGTTCACGTCGGTAGAACACAAAGGGTACTATTTATCGTGTAGCCAGCTATTCGATGATTTCCTACCCCGCGATACCTGGTACTAGAACTAAAGGACAAATCGGACACCACACGACCAGAAGTTCGGATGCTGCTTCCAGTTGGCTCAGTCAATGAGGGTTCAGACGGCATGGTGGACATCGTTATGCCCTGTGAACCAGATAGCCGTGTGGAGGTCGTGTGGTATGACATGCATCGTCGTTTAAGAAACCGAGACAATCGGTGCGAGATTGCAGCTGGCAGCTGTTTGTATCCAAGCAGGGAAGAACATACCGAGTAAGCGGCTACAGGTGACGGGAGCTGAAGGTGCTTTGCAGCTTTTACGAGCGTGTCGATCCAGCAGACCTTATTCTTCTTTTGAAAAGGATACCTTACGAACGATTTGTCGGTCGAGTTTTCGCCTTCGAGCAGTGAAGATTTTGGCAGTAACGCTGATAATGAAGGCAGAACAGTTAGGATTCCTCTATGGTCAAAGTGAATCGAGTAAGTTGGCGATCGAATGTGTTGACGAACAAACCGAGTGTGTGGATATGTGTGCACGAGGACGGCAGATGAGTATGTTTCGGAAATTTTTCAGACGCGATGAGGAACGATTGGTATTTGGTCGGATAGTACATGCTATAAAAGCTGTCCCACCTCAAGAATCGGTGTCGTTGAACCAGCTCCCCATACCTGAAAATCACGTGAAAACTGTAGAAGTGAGGCTTGGTTCGTTTGTTATATTTACGAGAAGAGCGACAGATAAAATAGCGCCTTTGCCACTAAGGCGGGATATTATCAATGTCGTGGGTAAAGCAATGTTGGACGAACTGGAACACAGCTGGAAATGCTACCGATCGCAAGTTGAGATGCAGTTAAAAGTGGCCCCAAGTTCCCAAGTCAGGCCATTTGCGGAGTTGCTTCAAGATGTTTCATCCCGCAGATTCGAGATGGAAAAATACTTGTGGGATGCATTTGCAAAGTCTACGAGTAGTAGACGCGATCGGCTTCTCATGCTTGTCATGCTTGTCAACGCAGTGCCAGTAATGACGATGGGTGATATTATACGGTGCTCTTTCGATAAAGAAATGATCGATACGTTGACTCTGGGATTAATTAAATCAAGAAGCGAGGGAGAAATTCAAGACAGGAGTCCTACTGTAATTAGAAATTTGTGTTTTGGAAGATAATGTGGAGCGTCTGATCTGGAAAGCTAAACGCAGTTCTAATGTGTCAGAAGCTCAATTGGTGGACGAACTACTCAACGTGCGTCAATGGCAGTCAGTGGAATTCCCCTATTGGTTGGCATTTGAAGTGGAAGGCCGACTACAGATCCGCTATGAGCAATTTGTCATACCTCAACATCTCATCAATCAACCAGGAACCGTTTGTCAGCTTAACATGGGACGTGGCAAGACTCGCGTAATCTTACCGATGCTGTTCCTGTATTTCACACACAGGTGTCGCCCGCGAGTGGTTCGTGCAAATTTCTTGGTCCTTTAGTGAGCGAAGCCCGGCATTTCATGCACCGGTATTTGTCAGCTTCCAATGCTTAGCTGAGCATTTTTGAACAGCCATTCCACCGTCAAATTGACTTGGATGCTCGCAGGTTCGAGCTAATGAGAGATATTCTTGATGAAATGAAGTGGTTTGGGGGCGTTCAGATTGTATCTCCTGCAGACCGCATGTCACTTGAGCTAAAGCATCTCGAGCTGGATAAGGACTCTCCTCTCGTCAACACACTGGACAAAATCGACAGCGATCAGTTCGTAGATATTCTGGACGAATGCGACGCCCTTCTTCACCACAAGTATCATTTGGTGTATGCGGTAGGCTCTCCAATTCCTCTCTGCAGTGGGATTGAGCGGTGGGAAGTTGCAGAAGCTTTACTGAGTGTTGTAGCCCACAGGTCGATTGGATCGCTAGTTGCCAAGGTACTTGAGGCTCCCCATGTTTCTTGTGTTTCTCCAGACTATTCAGCACGCTGGGGGGGGGGGTTGGCTTTTGACGGGACTCGATTAAACACTGTAGTGGAGAGCACTGAGGCTTTAAGAGAGCACCTGAAGAAGGCGATAGTACTGGATCTCATTGAGAACACCCGTTTGAATTAATGTGGCTCGAGACACTAGGGAATACCCGTGTCTCGCTGGTTATGGCCCTTACTGACAGTTCCGTAAGTTTACAAGAAGCTTTCGGTAACCACATACGCACACGGATCCTAAACTACAGAAAGCGTTCTACCTACGCATTCGCTTCTCGTAGACAGAACACTACACCCTAGTCCCCTAAACCCTTTAACCTTCAGCGCCAAACCTTAAGAACTTCTTATTGCTTACAAGGCGTAGTTGGTTGTTGCCGTCAGTTTCGGATATGAGGTGGCATCACATGGCCACCTCTCCAGCACATCCCTCGGCTTATCTTAAGTTGGGTGGACGCTGGCCTCATTCCATCAGCCATTGCCTTACTGACATTTATCCAAGCAAATAGACTATTTGATTTCCTTTTAACCTATCATATTGCACAAACCGAGAATACAAACTCAAAGGTTTTGCGTCGCAAACCTTCTCTACCTCCTCTAGAAGGGTGGCCCGTCGCTTCGTTCGGCGGCCGGTAGGCGTGAAGTTGATTCTTTGTTTTTGGTATTTACTTAGGTTCGATTGTGCATCCTAAAAATTCGAACCTAAGTGAAGTGACTAGTCGACAATTAAAAAGTAACAAGCCGACACACCATGATAATTATAAAGTAACTACTATAAAATGTATTACCATACATCAGTTCTCGCCGTATATTTCTCAGTTACTGGCACTACGAGGTCTGATAGCATTTGGAGTATTGGAGCATTGTATGGAGAAACGATATCGAGTGGATTTTGGCCTTCCACTTCCTGGATCTCGGCCCAAAAGAATCGCGATCCCTTTCCTTCGGAAAGATCCGAGTTCAGCCATCCGGACGTTTGTATTGTACTCGCATTGCTGGGATCTTATCATCAAGGCCTGACAAATGGGGAAACTCGACGTACCTTTCAGATATTGTTGCAGTTGGATCTTTCGAAGCAGAAACAGCAATATCGTCAATGGTTCGAGAGCGTCAAGGCGGGTTTAAGAGATGAAACCCGCAAGGCATTGAGTGATGGCCGTCATATTAGTCTTACGGATACTTGACAGTTCGAGACGCTCTGCATAGCCTATAGGTTTTGTATGGGTGCGATCAACTTCTTCCTGAACATGTGTGTATTTCCTAGGGATACGACGCAGTATTCTCAGTGTTTGTCAAGAACGGCGTGGAATCTCGCAGCTGGAGACAATAACATTGGATTATCTGGTACGAACAATAACCACCGTCTTCTTCCTCTCTCAGTGCAGCAGTGTGAGCCAAATGAGCCTCTGTTAGTAGGCACGAATGGAAAAATGATCGACAAGATCTTACAGGTGACTCAAGGCTACGAGGTAATTCGTCCCATTTCTATACGTTCTCCGATCCCATGGCAGGATGTCCTTCTATTTGCAATCGACAAGAAGACACAAGCTCTCATCGACACTGGAGCACTGCTAGCTGGTGTTTCAAACCTTGAGGCAGCGCAATTTCTTCTTGATCAAAATGGCTTTGTCTTTGGTGGCGTGACTTACTATGATAGTCGGATGGACTTCAATTGCTGGATGATCGCTGAAAAGACCCGCCGTGTTGTGATGCCTTTGAAGAAGTCGTCGATGCTTGAGAGCGAGACTTTCGTGGTCTTTGACGAGGCACGATCACGTGGGTCCGACATGAAGTTACCCTCTAACGCTTCAGCTGTTTTAACGCTAGGACCCAAGCTTACTAAAGACAAATTGATGCAGGGGGCAGGACGCATGAGGCAGCTCGGTTGCAACCAAACCCTGTGGATTGCATGCTTTGATGAGGTAGCGCAGAGTATTCTCTAATCCACTGGAGGGAGAGAGATTTCACATCTCCCTGCAATTGACGTATTGAATTGGGTCATGGCCAACACGAAAGCGGAATCCGTTCGCGGTATATTGGAGCGGGCGAGCAATGGTGTTCATTATCGGAGAACTCAGGGCGATCAGGACAGTGAGCTGATAGACGAAGATTGTTCACTGGAGACTCTGTACCAAGAGAAGATTACCACAGAAAAAAATCGCTCGAGTCATTGAGTCGACGGCCCGAATTCATTTTGAAGGCGTTGATGACGCATTGATCAGTCGAATCTGTCGACGAGGTCGTGCGTATGGTCTGGACGACGAAGTGTGTATCGCCGCGCACACTGACGAGTGTGAGCAAGAACTGCGTGTGGAGGAGGAAGAAGAGCGAGAACAAGATAGAGAAGTGGCAGTGTGCAAACCTATGAAAGAGAAAAGGTGGGCTTACTCCAGAATCTTAGATGCTCGGTCGATTGAGGATCTCCGTGATATCGTGAACGTGGTGAGTATGGAGAACTACATTCGAGAATGGATAACCCTTACGAACCTGGCGGATCTGGTGTGGACCAGTGCTCAGATCTTCGGAACGGAAAACTTTTTCGTGACGATCAAAGCCCAGAGAGGTCTGGACTGCGTGAACGAATTCCTCCGTGTGATCGATGTTATACTGATATTCGAGAACGGCCAAGTGCTGCTAGTATCCGAATGCGAGGCAGATCAAGCAAGCTGCTAGTATCCGAATGCGAGGCAGCAGCCAGCAAGCTGTACTGCACTCCGTGTTCTATGAATTGCTCCATTCTATACGTCAAACAACAATTGGGAATTTAGTGACGTCGCGCGGAAATGGCACAAAATGGCCGCGTTCAGCTCTGCCACAGCATGGATCAGACGACTGCAATGCTGAATTCTTGAATGCGTAGTTGAATGCTGAATTGAATAGCGTTGTTTGACAAGCAGTACATGTTTCTTTCCCAAAACTGTAGCTGCAAACAAGATGGATGCAGTTAAAGAGAGGTGCTGTTGAGAACTTGAAAGTTTCAACGCGAAACTAGACATTAGCCTTCAGATTGGGGAAATGATGAAGGTGACTGGCCGATGAATAGAGGTGCCAAGTTCAGGTTTGCTTGGAACTCCATGCGTTGCAAATACTATAAAAGAAGCAGTTTGCAACGCATGCAGTTCCAACTCTTCCAGCAAACGTGAACTTGGAAAACAATTGTCAATTGCAACTGAATGTGCAGCATGCAAGTTGCAATTGTCCACCAAATCCTTAGCTCGTTGATTCGTCTTTGAATAGGAAACATGTACTGCGAGTCGCAGCCTGCGACATCAGGTTTTTACTTCACACTGCCATTCGCCTTGCATGTAGAAGTTTACACTGCCAGCTACTCCTCTAACGTCGCACAGTAGTCTGCTGAGTAGTATACGAATACCACTTTCGCCATTTAGAGACGGTCCCTGCGATGTGGTACCACGAGCAGAAACGCCAACCAGTGGTCTCCGGGGAACCACGTGAGAAGATGAAGGCCGGTCGTCGCCGACTGGACCTGCATTCTTTATTTTGTTTAATCTCTCACAGCGATGAAACGCGTGGTGTTGCTGGGAGCGCTGGTCAATGCTGGCACTGTTTGGTCTCACATAGCAGCATCGCTGTATTTAATTCAAGCCTTTTACTCTGGCGCAGCGTGTGATGGCACCCCGTACCTCGTTAATGCCAACGAGTCTCCCGATTGCGCGAACGAGGCGTGTACAGCTGACGGTGTCGCTGTCGGCACAATATCGACGGAATGTACTTCAGACTACCTCTCGGCTCTGCGAAACAAATTCGGCAGCTTCCCGTACATCCTCGAGGTGTATTCCCCAGCCAGCGACTGCTCCACATTCGGCGCTGCATCTGCCTTCCTCGCGTCAGGAAACTGTGAAGGGTCCTTTAACGTGAACGAAAGCATGGGCGTTCATTTCGTCACTAGGTTCGAATCCAATGGATCAGCATCGGTGCAGTATTTTTCAGGATCTCCATGTTTAAGCGAGCAGTGGATAACAATGGAACAAGTCGACAAGAAAACGCTTGGCGATCATTCCTGTGATGCTAGCGGATATACGTGGTATAGTAGCAACGATGTGATCTTGGACGATGGTGTTTGTGTTACAAGTATTGTCGGTATCTCCGTTGCGTGCTTGGTTGGTCTTGTTCTGGTTGGCTTTCTGTTCTTTCGAAAAAGCCAAAGCCGGAAGCTGCTGACACAACGTAGTCTGCCTTTAACGACTGTCATTCTACAGTCGGACGAAACCATTCTACCGGAGATCGTGTCAGCAGATCGAAGTGCATTATGGAACGACGACGCCATCGTCGCGAATCGAATCCAGCGCAATAGAGTCAAGATCAAGAAACTTATCAGTCGTGGAGCTTATGGTGAGGTGTATTTGGGGAAGTTCAACCGAAAACTAGTCGCTGTGAAGATGCTAGTCGCCGCAACACGAGGAAGTATCCAACAAGTGAACGATCTCCTCTCTGAAGCGAAGATGATTGCCAGCATGGACCATCCGCACATTTTGTCTTTCATTGGAGTGGCTTGGGACTCGCTGTCCGATCTCTGTGTTGTACTTGAGTACATGGATGGCGGAGACTTGAGATTGCTTTTGGATGAGTTCCTCAAGGCAGGGCAACCGGTGGGTATTAACAAGATGAAAGCTACAATCGCTCTTCATGTGTGTCACGCACTTACGTACCTTCATTCACTCAACCCGCCGATCGTCCACCGAGATCTCAAGTCGCGAAACATTTTACTGAATCGATCAATGGCAGCAAAGTTAACGGACTTCGGTATCTCAAGAGAGCGACCTGATAACACTATGACTGCAGGCGTAGGGACGTCGCTTTGGATGGCCCCTGAGGTGATGCTAGGCAAGAAATACGATCTGAAGGCAGATATGTTCTCGTTTGGCGTGGTGCTATCGGAGCTTGACCTTCACACGATGCCGTACGCTCATGCAATGCCGGGAATTGATGCTGATGGTAATCACATGACTGGCGCAGCATTGCTACAGAAGATCACGACAGGGGAAGAGCATATAAAATTCTCGGTGAAGACTCCGGAAGCTATAGCCGAGCTGGGTCGTGCTTGTATATCAATTCATCCCGATGATCGACCAAGTGCTGCCGAAGCCTTGTACAAATTACACGTCTTTCTGGCGCAAAAGTAGTTGCGCATTAATGAAACGTGAAGTTTTTTTTTAAATATCATTATCTAATTGATGGAATTAAAAAAAAAAAAACTGTAAAGATTGCCGTTGGAGAAACTTGTGTCTGCATTTTCGTATGGAGGTGAAAAATACTGCTGAAGCTCAACACGTTTGGCGTAGATTTGTCTCGGGTGATTCAAACGAGTTCCTAAGAACCAGTTCTTGCAAACTCACATCTACATAAGGACACCTCCAACTGTAGAGTCGCCTTCTTCCTCATGTTACTTCCTGACGCAGGTGTGAGTTACACGTCCAAGTAGAAACTACATTCGATGCCACAAGCTTCTAAATCGATGCCCACGAGATCAAACGCCAAAATCCAGGATGGCAACGGCGAGGGGATGCTACTAGCTGACGTCTTGCCAAGTGAACCCATAGACTCACATGTGATTTTTGTGGGATCAATGCATCGGGGCTTCTACCCAGCGACCTCATTTTTGGATTCGCCTTATCGAGTGCGTTGGATCTTACGACAACAACATGGATCGTTTTGTACTACTAGCCCTGCTGCTAGTGGTGGATAATATCTGGTTTCCAGTGACTGCAACTACGTACGCTATCGACAAGTTCTACACGGATCTCGTCTCTTGCAGCGACACACCAAACGCCGTCAGAGTTTACACGGCAGCTACTTGTACCGCTGAAACCTGCTTCACCGATGAGAACTACGACAATCGAACTGCAGAATGCAGGTCGGAGTATTTGGAGACAATGAAGGAAAGCTTCGGTACTTCCCAGTACATTATCCAAGCCATCTACACAGACGCCACCTGCGCCTCCACCTCGTTCGATTACGCCGTTGGATACCGAGTGACCGGCTCGTGTGAACTCGGATACGTTGCGGTGGAGAGCGGTTATTCAGCGCTCTTCTACTTCAACGCGACACTGTCCGAGGAAGGCACAGCAGAGGTCAAGTTCTTTACGACGCCAGACTGCTCGATAATCTCGGACTCATCGACGACCTCTGATATTGGCGCAGTCGTCGCTTCTAGAACTACACTGGAGAGTGGAGATTGCGTTCCACTCGACTACAACTCGTACATGTATTCGGACACAGGCTACACACGCTGGTACAGTAGCAACAGCTATGATGATGGTGGTGGTCTGAGTACTGGAGCTATCATCGGAATCATCTGCGGTTGTATACTGTTTCTGCTGATTATTGTAGCTGCTATCATCTACAAATATCAGCGCAGATCGAGGGGAAAGCAAGGAGGACAATGGACTGCGACGTTGCCATCGGGCGACTTGACTTCTCTTGAAGCTGCTATGAGCGGACAAACGGGACTTTGGAACGACGATGTCATCACTGCAAAGAGGATTCCCCGTGACAAGGTGAAAATGAAGAAACTTCTCAGTCGTGGAGCCTACGGAGAAGTTTACACTGGAAGATTCAATGGACAGCAAGTCGCTGTGAAAATGCTGCTGCCTTCCACTCGAGGAAATCTGCAACACGTGACGGATTTCCTCACTAAAGCTAAACTGACTGCGTCCATGGATCACCCTCACATCGTCACTTTTGTCGGTGTAGCGTGGGATTCGCTCTCTGATCTGTGTGTAGTTCTTGAGTTCATGGATGGAGGAGATCTACGTACTTTATTGAACAAGTACGAGGCCGTTAAACATCCGGCCGGAGTTGACCTCGAGAAAGCGACTATAGCTCTTCATGTTTGCCATGCACTCACTTATCTCCACTCGCTAATGCCTCCAGTTATCCATCGAGATCTCAAGTCTCGTAATATTTTGTTAAACCAGTCGAAAGAAGCCAAGTTGACCGACTTCGGTATCTCGAAGGAACGTCTCGATCAAACTATGACTGCAGGTGTGGGGACATCGCTGTGGATGGCACCGGAAGTGATGTTGGGGGAGAAATATGACGTCAAAGCGGATATTTTCTCGTTTGGTGTCATGTTGTCAGAGTTGGATGTGCACACGTTACCGTATGCGCAGGCCAAGCAGAGAAGCTTGGACACAACCGGCCGGAAAATGGCGGATGCCACGTTGTTACAAAAGATTACTGCAGGGGAAGTTCGAGTGGAGTTTTCGGAGTCAAGTCCTCCATCGATGGTTGAATTGGGATATGCTTGTGTTGCAGTGGACTCTGCTGATCGCCCGACGGCTGCCGAGGCGCTTTACAGAATTCAAGTTATCTTATCGCAAGAGTTGGCAGGGTAATGCGCGATAAGTGAATTAGGGTGAGCTGGTCACGGAACCGACTGTGTAATACATACTTTTGATAAATATAAAGGTACACTAAATCATAAGATACTGGAGACCTGATATGTGATGTACTTGATACGGTGCCTTCCCGCAGAGCAGCAAAGGTGGCTACTAAGCAAGAACTCAAATGTCCTATTGTCTTGATAGTCATGCTTGGGGCTATTTTTTTTTACTGCTCTACGCTTGAGATCACGAATCTCAGTCAAGTGACTGAGTAGGTATATTAGGTACATGGAATGACATTGAATAGTGGTTTGCGTCACTTTTACTTCATATCCAATATATCGTGTTGTATTCGTGCTGCTGCTGGTACAAGTCGGCCAAACGATCTGGACGACGACTGAAGCAACGACTTGTTGGATCACCGTTCGCTATGCCGGAAACCGACTCCTATACTACCCATGTACTGTTAACACGTACGAGACTGCTGATGGATTTGCTTGTGTGGAAGACCTGTGCACCAAAACAAGTCAAGATACCGATATTGTAAGATTAACTACAAAAATGTCCTCAACTATTATGTCCGTTTGACTACCTGTCGACAATAAGAAATGCATTCGGGGACTCACCATAAATTCTTCTAGTGAATTACGAAGACGAAGGCTGTGACATCTTGTTCAGTGCGTTCGGATATCCCGCTTAAGAAACTGCGAGGAGTCTTATGACATGTACAAGAATGAAAGCAACTACGTCATCGGTAAACTGGAAGGTAATCGGTCACAACGGTCGACTTCTACGACGAGGAGAAGCGATTGTCATCGACAACAACGAATAGAACTACACTGAAGAATCATTTGTGCGATACCATGACAAATTGTTACTGCAGCAAGGACAACAAGGCCAGTAGCTCCACTGGATTAGCATTCGAAAACTCGAGTTATGGACTCTCGCCGGTATGATTTGCGTTGCGCTGCTAGTAGCTGTCATGGTTGTATTCTTCGTGCGCGCCGGTCGAAGGGGAGGGTATCTAGCGTCTGCGCTGCTATCGGGTGGCATGGCTTCATTCCAAGCGGAAATGGGCGGACAAAAGGGACTTTGGACCGATGACATTATCACTGCCAAGAGGATTTTACAAGGCAAAGAAGAAATTGCTAAGTAGTGGGGCTTTCGGAGAGGTCTACAGTGGAGTGTTCAATGGGCAACAACTTGCGGTCAAACTGTTGGATTCTGCTACGCGGTCGAACATTCAGCATGTCAATTATTTTCTTACTGCAGCCAAGGTGACCGCCATAATGGAGCATCCGCACGTTGTGAGCTTTGTTGGCGTTGGCTGGGGCCCGCCATTGGATCTTTGCATCGTGCATGGATACTAGTGACCTTCGTGCTCTGCTCGAAAGTCCCAGCGTCGAAGCGCCAAGTTGGTTTGATAAGCAGAAAACGGCTATAGCTCTACATGCATGTGTGTCATGCGCTCACTTATCTCCACTCGCTAATGCCTCCAGTTATTCATCGAGACCTCAAGTCTCGTAATATACTATGAATGTGAAACCTATCGAAGGAAGCCAGGTTGACCGACTTCGATATTTCGAAGGAACAGCTCGATTAAACCATGACTGCAGGAGTGGGGACGTCGCTGTGGATGGCACCGGAAGTGATGTTGGGGGAGAAATATGACGTCAAAGCGGATATTTTCTCGTTTGGTGTCGTGTTGTCAGAGCTGGACGTGCATAGGTTGCCGTTTGCACAGGCGAAGCAACGCCATTTGCACACAACTGGCCGGCAACTGACACACGCAGCACTCCTACAAAGAATCACGACGGGAGTTGCGAGAGTTAAGTTTTCCGGAATCATTCCACCTTCGATCGTGGAACTAGGATATGCTTGTGTATCGGTTGATCCAAGCGCACTTCCCAGGGCAGCGGGAGTGTGTATAGACTCCAGATCATCCTGTCCAAAGAGTTAGCGTACTGAAGGACATAGGAAAAGACAAAATGGTATTCAAGCGTTCTGTAGGTTTGAAATACAGAAGACGAAGTCTACTATAGGTTTCACGTGTACCATGCTGACATCATTTCAGCTCATTTCAGCTACCACCCCTTCGAATTGATGCACCCATCGAGAACTGGATTGCAGGGAGGAGTCGTGCTGGTTACAGCCAACGTTTCGACTTCTGACCCATTGCCAATTTTCTGACGGATACACCCGTGCTCATGATTCACCTGCTATGGATCCTGCTTCATGAGATTTTACCTGTTGCTGCCGTGGCGATGTACTCGATAGCAACATATTACTCGGATGATGTTTGCAGTTCCAACTATGCGTATCAAGTTCACGCAGTCGAAGTCGCCAATTGTACTTCGCTGACCTGTTCGAATGATGGACTTCTGACAGCTTCCACATCCGACGATGCGGAGTCGATCGAGTGCTCCACAGACTACGTGACCAGTATGATAAGCATGCTGAATGACGTCTCCTATATCATCGTTCTGAGATTTGAGGACAACAATTGCTCCACCTTGCACTATGGTTATGGCACCACAACACTTGGACGGTGCGCCGAGAACAAGCATACCGGAGGATACTCGACCAGCATCCTACACAGTGACGGATCGGCAGATATTCAGTATTTCTCCGATTCGAGTTGTTCAGTGGCATATGCGTCCGAGACTGTCAATAACTCCGCCAAGGCAAACCACGAATGCAGCTCAAGCAACTATGTGTGGTATACAAGCAGAGGACCGGAAATTTCGAATGATAACCCCACTGCAACTATCAGCTCTCGGGACGGCAGTCACAGCGGACACAGTAACTACGACCACATTCCCCAAGAAGCTTCGGATTCCTCCAGTGATGTTAGTGCTCTTACTATCGTCTGTTCTGCCTTTAGCTGCATTATGCTCGCACAAGTTGCTGTCATCATTGTCTTGTATAGACGATTGAAAAAGCAAACACCAGTGGAGACTCGAAGTGGTCTTTGGGACGACGACACCATCACTGCTACTCGAATTCCTCGGAACAAGATCTCTATCAAGAAGCTTCTATGTCGGGGTGCTTTTGGAGAAGTTTACTGTGGATTCTTCAATGGCCAACAAGTAGCCGTCAAGATGCTGCTATCAGCCACGCGTTCCAATCTCCAGCACGTCAACGAATTTCTGACCGAAGCAAAAATGACTGCCATGATGGATCACCCACATATCGTCTACTATGTCGGTGTCGCGTGGGACTCTCTCTCAGATCTTTGCGTTGTTCTCGAGTTCATGGACGGTGGAGACTTGCGAACACTCTTGAATAAATATGAAGCAGAGCACCATCCTATCGGTATCGATAGGGAGAAAGCCATAATTGCGCTTCATATTTGCCATGCTTTAACATATCTGCACTCCTTACGTTCGCCAGTTATTCACCGAGATCTCAAGTCACGCAACGTCTTATTAAACCAGTCAATGACAGCCAAGCTGACCGATTTCGGGATTTCACGCGAACGGCTTGATCGAACCATGACTGCAGGCGTTGGGACTTCATTGTGGATGGCGCCTGAGGTGATGCTTGGAGAACGATACGGTGTTAAGGCGGATATATTCTCGCTAGGTGTTGTGATATCTGAGCTGGATGTCCACACGCTGCCCTACGCGCAAGTCAAACGACAAAGTCGTGAGACGGAGGGTCGTGAGCTTGGTGATGCCACACTCCTGCAAAGAGTTTCAACGGGAGAAATAACTGTGGAGTTCTCCTATATGAGTCCCAGCGCGGTGGTGGAGCTGGGTCGTTCCTGCGTGTCAGTCGACCCAGCAGACCGTCCGACGGCAGCTGGAGCTTTGTATCGATTACAAGTCATTCTGACCCAAGAGCTGTCGTCATCCTGCAACGATGTTCTTTGAAATTTTTTTCAGCTGAGGAGTTATCGTGCATCAGCCAGTTTGAGCGCTTCTTCTAACTTGGATAGATATGATGGATGCAAGTGAGTGCCGTCTAATCGAAATTCTGGTCGAAGCTGTAGATCTTACGTGTTAGCAAATTATGTTAAAGTTTCCCATGTATTAGTTGTGCCTACCTTTGGCGGATCTCCACACACCAAGTCATCGTGGAAGTCCAGCCACCTGAACAAGCAAGATATGATAGATGAAAAAAAAAATAAAGTTGCGATGTAATAGAGTACGTCTTACCTGCTGATTGAGCTCTCATCGACACGTTTCTGAAAGAGCTTGTTGTACGAGATTACCAGTGAGCGCGTCTCATCCAGCACTGGCACGACTGGGTGGATATACACATCAAACTCGAACTTCTCCACTATGTCCGAAAGAACCTCCATGAAGATGCCGATTGCGTGTTCCATACCTTCCTTAATCGTCTACAAGTAGAACGAATATATCACAAGTTTTGTAGGCCTATCAGCATTCTAGTGTACAATTATCACAGTGTTTACCTCGTATTTACATTTCTCAACTGCTTCCAGTATCCCCTCGCGGCAGTCGATTTCACCAAATAAAAAGATGACTCGGGATTTGCTCGGGATATTCGCAACAACATGCCAAAAATTTAGTTTAGGGTAGAAAGTGGACTCCTTCCTAAGATGCCAGTGCTTGAGACCAGTCACGAGAGCTGGCCGCAACAGAATTTGTTCATCATGGGGGCTGATTTCGCGCCATGCGGTTGCCAAGGTGTGTGAATCACCACATATATAAATCGCATCAGGGCAACCGTCTGGAGACACTGGAGGCGACATTACCAGTGCATTCTCGATCGAAAGAAGTTGCGCGATACAAGCATAATAAGCCTGTTCATTGCGTATTGTTGTTCGGTGCAGCTCACGCCCCAGTCGAAGGGGCTCAAGCACACGAATCAACGATGGCAGCACGGACAATCGACCATTGACGAACAGTATTTTGACGATCGTGAAAAAGCAAGCCAGGAGGTCCAGCTCCGCATCCGGTAAAACCGAAGAAGCCTTTATTTTTGCTTGCACCGTGTGAAGGCGTAGCGGAGTAACTTTCGGATCTTCCATATCCAACGAGTCTGAAGATGGCGGGGTCACCTTTGCGTATCCCCCATTTCCAGAAACCCACTCTATGCACCATCGATACCCCTGTATTTCACTGAGTACACCTGGTGCTTGCTTGCCGTTGTGTCCACCATACCATGCCTTCGCAAGATCGAGAATTTCAACGAATGACCCAGCAAGCAATTTAGCAGCCTCATTGCCGCCGCTTCCGACTTTTAGCGTACCATTCCGGCGAAAGAACACAGTCAAGATATGGTATGCCTCGGCATATCGACAGCAAATTTCTAGCGCATGCGCGTGGTTGAGTGCGTACGAGGCATTTTGTGGATCACAATCTTGAGCCAGTTGAAAACACGCAATTGCTTTCTCCACAGCGCCCAAATCTTTTAGTATTGTCGCAATAAACGCATATGCAGCTCCTGCTGAAGGACCATTAGGAGGGACTCCATTCTTCAATCGTTCCATCCAACCAGAGTCGTTTAGAAACGAAACAAGCACTTTCTTGACAGCTCGATCACTTGATTTTCCCACTAGCACACGTAACGCCATACTAAGAGCCTCACTCTTCTTGCCGCGGTCGAAAGCAATTTTAGCATACAGAAACAGGGCGTCCAGGTTCAATGTAGGTGCTGCCAGATCCGGTAACAAGTGCACAATCAGCGAGATGGCGTTCTCCTGGTTATCGAAACTTTTTGTTTCATACAGAGCTCGTGCTTTCAAAACATCCATCTGCTCCTCCATCCATAATCGTTCCTCAGTGTCAGGAAAGAAGATCTTACGCTTGAATTCTCCCCCAGTACTCCCACTATTCACACGTAAAAACGTCTGCATCTCGTCCAAAATCCTCACTGCCTCGTTAAACTTCCCCAGCTCAATGTAACACTCTGCAATTTTCAGTCCGCTCGTAAACGCCACTTGGGCATGAGCCTTGCAGCCACATTCTTCCCCTCCATGTTCCTTCCAGCATTTAAAAAAATATTCCTCCACTGCTTCTTCATGCTGTCCATTAGCTACCAAAATATCCCCAAGTGCTACCAAAGCTTCAGGATTGAGTGGCTCCTTCTTCATTACCACATCAGTATAAATCTCCCTGGCAGCTCGAAACTTCTGTTGCTTCATGTAAGTGGCCGCCAGCTCCAAAACTCCATGAAGCTTGGAATCCCGACCGTCTTCTTCAATGGTTTCAGCTAAATACTTGAACTTAGTTTTAAGCGCTGGAGGAGGCTCAGGGCCTAGAACTTTCCTCTGCGGCTCTTTGGGGACCACCACGAGCTCGAAATCGCACGTTTTGCCGCTCTTGAGCAGCATTTTATCTGTACAACCTGCAGAGCTGCCAATCTCGGCGACGGACTCATCTAGCGACTCTAACAGTCGACGAGACGATGCGTTTTGATGAAATTCCACGTAGACGTCGACATTTCCCGGCTCGGGCAAAGTCTTAGAGCGGAATTTAGCGTTGTATGCAGTGAAGAAACAGCGCAGGACTGATCGAACAGACGGACACGTACTAATGTCGTCTACTGGGGGTAAATTGACCCGCTTCGTCCATGCCAGCTCCTCGTCCGACGGCTCGAAGTGCACGTAAAGCCGCATTGAGCGACTTGCACGCTCAAAGGACGCAAATAATGCGGAATACGGTGTGCACACCAAATTGAAGTGCACCACTCGAACAACAATAGGCACCCTCACGTAAAAATGGCGATGGATGAAGCTGTAGAAACAACGAGCGCTAAAGCAACAGACACTTTGGTTCAGACTCAGATATCTCCTCGCATACACTAACAGTGGCGTGGGTCATTGCCATCTTCCTCATTTTTCTTGCTTTTTTCTTAACTTTTCTGCATTAATCTCACTCTCCTCGTAGGCAGCAAACGTCGACCTGTTGAAGACTGTTAAATCCCTGCCCGACGCTGTTGTTCACGTAGGCCGGCAACACACATGTGACAATAGCGTGGCCTCACAATAAAGAGGAGCAATAGCTTCTTGGGTTGCGTCCATTAGCAGCTTAGTCGTCGGCGTGCAGGCTCTTCTTGTGGGCCTCCTGGGCGTCGTACCACTTGTAGAATCGGCTGATGCGGTCCAGCTCGCCGTCCTTAAAGTTGTTCCAGACCATACCGGCGCCGATGCCGAGCACGGTGGCGACAACAATGTCCTTCAGGGGAGAGATCATGGCTACTAGCGGGAGTCGGAAATGCGCTACGGGGGGCTTGTTGCTGACTGGGTAACGAGAGGCGTGGGGACGCTGTGGACCGTCAGAACCAGAGGGTACTGAGGACGGGGGACACGCGTGAGAGGTGGAGAAACTACACGATTTTAAACAAATAGAGTATTGAATAGACACGAAATATGGGGGCGACATCCCTTCGTTCAGAAACAGGGTACGCTGAAAGCTGAAGTCTAGCAAAATACTATGACCTGCAATATTCTATTTTTACACAAATCGCTGTTGTCCTATTGGAATCTGTAATCAGTAATACATCTGCTAGAATGAGTTCCATGACGTTCGAGGCTGCGGCTATAAAAACGCGACGAGTGTACTTTTACTACATTCGCGTATCGCCATTTTCACTGGTAGAAACGTTTGTAAGTTTCTACCAATACTATATCTGCGTTTGACTCCGCTTCAACAAGAGGATCTTGAACGTCAACCATGATGCTGGAAGTGTCGCCACGCGAGGCCTGTGCACTCCTCGTATTCACAGCCGCGCTAATCACAGCCTGGAATGCCAACTCTAACGGATTTGTGTGGGATGACCGATCCGCCGTCTTGGCCAATGACGACGCTCAGGGCAGCAGCCTATTCGAAGTCTTCTCTCATGACTTTTGGGGAACACATATCCGATCCATGCACAGCCACAAGAGTTATCGTCCATTGACAGTGCTGAGCTTCCGCCTCAACTATCTATTGGCCAAGGGCCATAGTGCATGGCTCTACCACTGCACCAACGCACTGGTGCATGCCGGGTGCTCGGTGCTTCTGTGGAAGGTGGCGGACGTGCTGTTCCTGCAACATCATCGTCGGGTAGAGACCGTGCCCATTAAGGAGAACCCACAAGATTCGTTTCCTGTAGAGAGTGATAGCAGAAAGAGTACTGCAAATGTGGGAGAGTGGAAAATCCTTGTGGGGCCATTGACGTCGGGTTTGTTGTTTGCGGTTCATCCGATCCATTGTGACGCTGTGGCAAGTATTGTCGGAAGAGCAGATTTGCTATGCACGTCGCTGTCATTGCTGGCATTTCTGGCTTATACCAGTGGAGCGAAGAAGAGTGAGAAGTCGTGGAGGTTTGTTGTGATGGCCTTGATACTGACGATTTTGGCGGGACTCTGCAAGGAGCTCGGGTTCACGAACTTCGCACTATTGATGGTGTACGATCTACTGAGAACTCATCGGCTCCAAAATGTGGAGATGGGCGTACAATTAATGCAAAAGAGACTACTCATAACGGCGATCACGGGGATTGTTGCTGCGCTTGTACGAGTCTGGATTAACGGTGAACATCGTCAGATGGAGTGGAACATCCTTGCTAACAATGTGGTGGTACAGGAAAGTAGATTAACGAGAATGCTGTCCTATGCACATCTACACGCATGGTACCTGTGGAAACTCGTATGGCCGCGGTGGCTCTGTTTCGACTACGGATACAACGCCATCCCAGTAATCGAATCTATCACTGATCCGCGTAATGTATACACCCTAATTGCATACGTGGTTGTAGCGGTTGGCCTTCGCAGCGCCATCCTTCAATTGGTAGGATCGAGGAAAACCCCACCATCGTCTTTATATATGATGAGTATTGCGTTTGGAGTTGTTCCCTTTGTCCCGGCTTCGAATGTTATATTCCCAGTTGGCACTGTGGTAGCAGAGAGACTGCTTTACTTCCCCAGTGTCGGATTCTGCCTCCTCGTTGGATGTATTATTGATCGAACGTTCTCGATCATAGATAAGCACACGGTACCGAGCACTCTAATAGGCAGCAGTGACACAATCCAATCTGTTTCAAGCTTTACCCAGCCACATAACTTATTTGGCGCAGCTCGGTTTGTGGTGCTCATTTGCGGTACACTCATTCTCGCGGCAGGATGCTATCGAAGTCATTTACGCAACGCTGACTGGATAAGTGAACAAACGTTGTTTAAAGCAGCAGTCGATGTCGTGCCGACTAACGTCAAAGTTCTCTCAAACGAAGCGAAAAATCTGTTGAATTCGGATCCGAAAAGGGCTCTCGACTATCTCCGCATCGCGATCGGAATGATACCAAAGCACATCGAAAGTCAGACGAATGCTGGACTCGCCTTTGTCACACTTGCATCCAGAAATGGTCTGGTCATGGATCTTTACCTCCATGGAATACGACACCTTTACAAATCAGCTGTGCTTGCTCCGAATCACTTCCAGGGTGTTGGATTTATTGGCGGTGAGATATATACTCACTGGATGAAGAAGGCACGACTACGTAACGATGACGTTACTATCGGAGAATTTCTTGGGAGTGAGTCTATTGCCCAAGCGACGAAGTTTCTGGATCATTCAATCGATCGCAATAGTGTCTATCCAACCCATTTCTACAATCGAGGTAGCATCGCTTATGAAAGCGGTGACTACGACACAGCAATCCGATTTTTCCGTATGACAGACGTCGCTAATGGCGTTATTCGAGACAGAAAAGTTGACCCCGAGTTACTTGTTGAGGCTTCAACTATCTACAATATGCTGGGTGTATCCTACAAGAAAAAAGGAGAGACAGATCAGGCTCTAGATGTGCTTCGTAAAGGGATTAAGCTGTACCCGGAAGAGATCGACCTTCACATTAACACAGCTTTGATACTGCACGATGTGGGGAACACTGATGAGGCTCGCGCACAGATAAAGGCTGGATTGGCCGCTGCGGCAACGCGTGATTACATTCCAAGGCTCCGTAACTCTGCAAAACTACTTGAAAACGCGAAAATGACGGACGTCGTGAAGGCACTGTTGGATCATGCTGCCAAACTTGAGCGTGACTGTCAATAATAACAAAATTCGTGCATCCGCTACAGTGCACTTGACTCTCATGGTCATGGTGTGACGAGAAGAGTGTTACCGACACGGGTGATGCAATTAGAGGGAAGGCGGATGGCTTTACCCGTAATCCTAAGCTCGAGTCTCGTCCAGAGTGGTCCCATGGATCGCTTCATCGATTAACATTCGGTACGCACTTGTCAGCAAGAATGCTCATGTGCAGTTATGACTGTTCCTGTAGTTAAGCACCCCATAAAAGGAATATATTAACTTCTTTCCCTGAAACAACATGAAACAACACTTTTGTTGGCCAATCATATGCGACCACATGTAGATATTTTTTTGACCAATCAATTTCATAAATTATGTAGAGACACTCCAGTTACATTCAGTCGTAGAAATTGGTCTGAAATGGGGAGCGATGACGATCGCCCACCTAGAGGCGAGTGCCCGGAGTGCTCCAAGCTGGTGTCCAAGTCAAATATGGCTAAGCACAGGAAGATCTGCGGCAAAAAGAAGCCTCGGAAGTCACGCAAGGCTATTAACCGTGACTCGTACGTCCGAAACAAGGACAAAATCCTTCGCAAGCGTCAGGAATATCGTCTAGCCGATCAGTTTCGACGCCTTTCAGGTAATTTTTTTTTAAAATATAAAATATTTATGAAAAAAGAAATGTGAAATGGACAGCTGCTCGACGTAAGCTCGCGGAGTTGGAGCCGCAGGAAATAGAAGTGGAGGCTGTTGAACGGACAGCGTGGACGCCGGTCACCCCGAGCAACATTCTGTATGGCGTGAGGGAGGGATGGTGGAAAGACATTAAATTATGAATTCTACGACTTTTCATTATAAAATTCGCCACGCTTGTAGATCGAGACATAGTCTGCATCATACTATAAAATACGAGTTCAGACAAAAATGTACGATACGGTCAGAGCTTAAAATACGAGTTCAAACCAAAAAGGACGTATTCAGACTAAACGGTACGTATGCATTGCTATAGATACGAAGAGTAGTCAGGCAATGGCTTTGCTCGGCAAGCGCTGTTTCGGCGGCCTTTGCGATCTTTTCTGATGAAAGAAGCCAGCATCAAAATGGTGAACGTTGTGTCACTATCAGCACTCCCGGCACCTCCGTAATACTTGACGTAGTAACTGCTGAAAAGAGGTAGAACCGTTTTGTGCCAGCGGCACTTGTCTGACGCCCCCATCATATTAGCGAACATGGCGAGGTCTTCTCCTAGCAATTTGGCCATACTGTACCAGCTTCGGGTGATTCCTGCACGAGCTCGATCCGATTGCGACCACTCCGAAAGAAGCTTGAACAAATGCACTTTTTCATCGGCCTCCACACATCGTACATTTTAGTATGAACTCGTAGATTTTGGTATGAGCTCGTACCTTTGGTATGATCCCGTACATTTTGGTTTGATGCGTACTTTTGAATACGAACGCGTACTTTTCGATATGACCCAGTTCATAATTTACTTGCAGAACATAAAAACATAAAAACATTAAAAATAGTAAAAAAAAAATGGTGACACTTTCTTTTTTGCCACGTCCACTACTGCTGTACGATGATTGGCCATACAACACTGAATAACAACTGAATGTTGTTTCGGCACGAAGAAGTTGCTTCCGAGGACAACCCATACAAAATTTAAATACAGAGATTTGACTTCCTCAGAATAAATCAACGTGTCAAGGCGGCAAAAAAATGTTTTATAGGGTTAGGCGTATTTTCATACAAACTCATTGATAAACCATTAGAGGGGCTACTATTTGAGTGTTGTTTCAGTCAGAGTAAGCTCTACTTCAAAATTTGAAGTATTTCGAAGCATTTAATGCACTCCATTTTATAACTGAGGGGTGAGAGGGAATTAAAATTTTATCTTGGATTGTAACCGACTGGTCATCGGGAGCCGTTAATTTATTGCTGAAAGGAGTATTCCCAGCCTAGGGATTACTGCCGAGGGGATCATCTGTATTAACCCTTTCGCGGACACAATACCTTTGTATACTATTCTAATTCAAGATGTTCGAAAATGAAAGGAGGCATTTTAATGCACTCGCAGCGAAAGAGCACAGCCAGATGAGTGACCCAACGTCAACTGCCCCGGCGGATCTGGCCTCCAACAAACCCGTGGTCAACTCAGCTACTGGTGCAGTTGTACAGAGTGACGAAGAGAGCTTAAGTGGAATCGAGCAGCAGTGGTTTGTTCCATCCGGCGTCGAATCATGCTAGAGTGGAGAGCGCGACGACAGTGGCGACGAAACCTTTACCGCAGACTCGGAAACTGACGGCAGCGAAATCGAGCTCCAGTCGCAAGAGAGTGCCTCTAGTGGGAATGGCGGAGAAGCGGATATTGGTATCTATTTGATGGACGGCGATCTACGATCTCAAGTCACAGAGATAATAATGCTGATGAGTGCGAGAACCGCTGCGTAGAGGGCTAAAGAGCTGGAGCATCTGCTGAACAATTATTCTGCCCAGCGAAGTGGGTACAGAATGGTAGGAGGCAAAATTCACCCATCGATAAATCCAAATACGGAGTTCCGATTGGTCAAAACAGATATCTCATGAAGTTACGTCAATCCAAAGGGACGTCGGGTTCACGACGGGCATCCTGATTGGCCGCTGGTGCTGTTGAAACGATGCAAGCCTTCCTCACTTTTGAAGATATAGGGAAAAGCGAAGACAACAAGGAATGTCAGGAAGGAAGGTGAAGCGCCAGCACATGCCGCCTCGACCGACCGCCGATGGAGGTGAAGCTGTAGGGCCGCGTGGTGAGCTATTCGTATGTGGCTTCAATGTGTTATAGTACCCAACACTAATTGAGCGTCGTCATTGCAGATGACAGCGCGCTGTTCAAGGAGATTTGGCGAGTTCTTCGCCGTGATAGTTGGGCGGCCCTCTCGGGGCAGCCTAAACAGTGAATACCGCTGTGAAGCCTGGTCACAGTCCAGACGGCGATGAGGGTAGAGACTATTTTCTCGGAGAGAGACGACTAGTTGAATACTACATGCAGCTATATGTCGGCGTATGCACTGGATATATCGTGAAAGTACTGCAACCAAGTTCAACAATCACAAACACAAAAGTTGTACATGATATTGCCCAAGACTGAACGAGCGGGGAGAGGAAGTCACCGTTGACTATGGAGATGACCTCTGGTTCACTTGCCGGTGCGGTTTGACCAGCGCCAGAGGGACATTGAATACGAGGAAGACCGACGATAGGGTGACGGAACGAGGAGGGTTAGTACTTGCTCATGAGTTTGAAAAAGATCTGTGTATTTTGAATATGAACTTTGGATTGTTAACCTTGCGTCTCATCGTTAAAGTTCTAGTTTACTTAGTGAACGGATTCGACATGAGTCCGAAGAGCTGAGGCGTGTTTCACGTGAGAGGTTTGGCGCGCTGAGTGTGCATCAACACCCTGTTGACTCGAAGTATTCAAGTGTGGTTAAGTGACAGTTGGCTTTTGGGAACAAAGGACTGATTGATGGGATGTGACTCGATCCAGTCTTGGGACTCATCGTCAACGACGACGCGCCATGTGATTACGCCATCATCTGCGAAGATTGCGCAAAAGTCTGAGTAGATCGACATGGCACAATCTTTCCGATACGCGATCTATCCCCAAGGATTCCGATACGCGAACTACTTTTAAGGGGTCGATCTACTGTTGACACATCAACTGATTTGTACCCATGGTAAGTAGGCTACAGAGGGATAGTAGGAACATCTATGGGATGGGCAGAAGGTAGTGGACCGCTAGGACTTAAAGGAATAACAGAGTGGAATTTGCCTTATCAGGAAGAAGTGCCTTCGGTATAAGATTGGACAGCTGTAGCGGGAAGTATATTGGCCTATACAGTACTCAAGTAATTCTACCAAGGACACGCGTCAGTCGCCGGAGTTAGCAGCTTGGCCGGTCGATCGTCTCCACTCTCGCCCCCGACTCCCCCGCTACAGGAAGCGGTCAAGCCTCGCAAGTAAAGGAACAAGGAACCCCCC